CCATTGCTTTGAAATCAACAAAAATGCCTATAAGTGAAACTGTGGGACTCTACTTTGTAATTCCTGCTTTGTAGGTTTTATTAACTGAGCTACATTTGTGGTTATAACAGAAAGTGTACAGTCTTCAGGCCAGAGCAATGGAATACATACTTCTTGTTTTATATTTCTCTTTTTTTATCTGTCTGTGTGCTTTGGTGTGCCTGTATTTTTCTGGCTGTCAGGAAATGACTTATAAACATGAAGGTAAGAGCTATCCATTAATAGCTGATTTGTTCAAATTACCATGTAATTTAGTTCTTTATGATTTAGCAATTTCTCCTGTTTTGTTTTGATTAATGACCTGAAAATGATATATAATATTTAAATCATGTTGGAAGCTATAGAGAAATTAGATTGTTTGTATGCATATGATATATCTAATTCAATCAAATGCAGTACTAATAGATAGATATCTGTATACAAGATGGTCTATATATTTTAAAACAGACTCTAAATCACAGATTTTATGTCACCATTAATTAAATTGTCTCAGAGTTGTAGCTATGTTAATCCATAACTTTAAAAAGTGGTCTTGTGGCACCAAAGGTCTGGTCTTTCTTTCAAAATAACAAGCAGAGCATCCACACTACCAAGCCTGGTTATTGAATATAACAAGCTGGTTTTTTGAAATAACAAGCTGGTTATTTCAAAATAATAACTCCAGCTTTCCATGAGGAATAACATGAAGATTAATAGTTATTTTGGAAGTTATTATTTATTACAAAAATTCCTAGTGTAGACATGCCCTTAGGATCTAACAAAAATATATAGGATCATATGATGCAGAGTCTGCGTCTTAAAATATATAGCCCATATTGCATACAGATATCTATCTATTAGTGCTGCATTTGATTGAATTAGATATATTTATGTGCATATGAACAATCCTATATTTTGTTGGTGTCTAAGATGCCATAGGACGTCTTGTTGTTAATCGAGTTGATTAGTTTTATATATCTTTATCATGAGTCTTATAGAACTTCTAAATGTTAATTACAGAAATTAATGCACAATTACACTGTAAAAGTATGTGTGAAAACATTAGTGTACAAATCCAAAATTACATCACCATTTATATGTTATCAAATATTTCAGATTTTACTTCAGCATATCTTCGGTTATTGAGATGGGCATTTTACTCTCAGTTTTGATCTAAATTTTAGTGTTTAATATCTTTAAATAAAAAAACCTCCACCTTTAATTAACCATCTAAACTGTTATTATTTATACAAATATAATTTCAAGGATTTCATGTTAAGAAAAAAATCTGACATGAATAGTATAGTTAAAGAGCAAACAAAACACTAAAAGCCCTATTATAAGAATACATATATTTTATAAATGTATTTTAATTAATATGTAATTAATACATACACTCTCATAATCTGTGTGTGTGTGTGTGTGTGTATAGAGAGAGATATCTGTATTGCCTTATTGTTTGTCATAGTGTTTATCAGTTAGTAATATTTTCTTAACACTTTGTTAACTTTGTGTCTCTGCTTTATTTTTTTCTCCTCTAGCTGTCCCCTGACAATTAATGTGTTATGTGTTGGTTATGAATCAATTTTATAGCCGGTTGCTACAAATATTAGGCTGCCACACTGACAACAATATTCAGTAATTATTGATAATTTGAATGACAATATGTGATCATCTCATGATGTAATTCATAAATGTTGTTATTGTGCAATGGCTAAATACTACATTGTGTCCCAGCAAATTTTTAATCAATGTAAAAACAGACAGACAAATTCTCCATTGAGGTATAGTAAGTAGCAGTGTTTATAAAAAGTAAATTAAACAGATTCACTCCAAATGCGAAGTATTATACTCAAGTATAGGCAGTATTTAGAAAACCCTGACTATCCTTGAAGATTTTGAGTGTCTTCATGGCTTGGGAAATATTAATTTCCCCTATCTAATTATCATTTACTTACATTATTTATTAAATTGTGTGGATGTTTCCCAGAGGCTTGGTGCCAATGATGTGTTTAAATACGCTTAATAACAAGTTTACCTATATATCGATAGTTTAGTATGGGTTGAACCTCTGTAGTCTGGCACCCTCAGAACCTGATTGGTGCTGAACTAGAGAATTTGCTGAACCATAGGAGGTCAATATTGTTTAGGAGCATTATCGACACTTCTACTGCTTACTGTGCTCTTAGAAGACATTTAGGGTAAATTAGAGCTAAATAACAGCACAGCATTCTTGAGAGCCAAAACTGGTAGTTGTAAACACACTTTATGGGACCACACCCATGATAAGCAGACATCTGGCTAATATCATGTTGGACCAGAGAGTGCTGGACTAGAGAGGTTTAACCTGTAATTATTATATTTTTAAATAATTCTCGGTAATCGAGAAGTCCCAATTATATAAACCAAGAAGACCAATCTTTTGTGTGATGTTTTTATTCTATGAGAATACCTCTTCTTAAAGCAACAGGCACTCACACGGAATTATTTATAAAATCAGATTGTCTGAAGCTTTGCAAAGAACATCTCAATATTGATGAACACTCTTTTGTCCTCAGTTTATTGAAGCTGCTGATGCTCTCTGTATTATTGCTGGGTATTATTTCTTTGGTTCGTAGATTGATTATGGACCATGATTTATTTGTTCCTTTCTAAGGGTGTGTCTAGACTACAGGGTTTTTTTGTTGTTGAAAAAAGTGGCCTTTTTTCGAAAAAAACTTCCTCTGTGTCTAGACTGCTTGTTTTACGAGGAATAAAGCCTTTTTTTTGAAAGTGCCCTTTTGAAAAAAGGCGCTATGTAATGCAAACTGCTTTTTCGAAAAAGAGCATCCCGACTGCCTGAGTGTAGATGCTCTTTTTTGAAAGAGGCTTTTTCAAAAATATCTTTTGAAAACACCTCTTTCGAAAGAGGCTTATAGTCTAGATGTAGCCTAAAGGACTTATAATGAAGAAACGCATCTGGGCGTCCCACCGCTCCCGTCCTTCGGGGCGAGAAAAGCCCCGTTCGTAACTGCGGATCCGACATAAGTTGGATCCATGTAACTCGGGGACTGCCTGTAGTACCTGTAGATCTAGGAATTGAATCCAAGTTTCCTGTTCCCTATCAACAAGGCCACACTGCCTCTCTCAATAGTCACCCTACAGAGAATGGTTTTATGAGAAGCACAGATGTTTGGATTAGCAATTGATGAGTTGTCTAAGTTAAGACATGGCTTGTATCCCCATTGTGTTACTAGCTCGAGCTGCAGTAACCGGTAAACTTCACCTGTGTCTCCAACACATCAGCTCACTCCAATTGAAAGCACCAGGTGGTTGAGTGAGGAGCAACACTCAAATTGTGCTTCAAGCCAACATGGCAGTGAAATATTAAGAGACGTGATGTGATGAGAACTTTGAGGTTATGTTCTTAGCTCTGTTGAAAGCAACAAGTACAGTTTCACAATAGTGTGGAGGCCTACAGTAGTAGGAGAGTATGTGAAGTCATTTGCTGGTGATTAGAGATAGTGCTGAGCTAGTTGGTAGAATTCACTGTAATTGGAAGTTGAAGAAAAGCTCATGGGTAAATTGTAAACTGTAAGGAGGACTTGGTTTTGCTAGTTTCTAGAATCTTCTGTAGGGTGAGCACAACGGCTCATAACACTATATAAAGATAGCTAAATTTATCTTACGTTACACTTGTCAGTGTTGAATTCACTAGGTGGCTTTCTGGTAAATAATTTTGGTTGGAGGCCTGCTTTTATTTTTTAAACTATTCTAAGCTCAGTGATTGAGGAAATGCTGACTTTTTGCTTGTGAAAAATTGCAGAAATGTTGTGTACTGACTGATGGTATCTTTCAAATAATTTTCAAGTGTAAGAACTAAGAGAGCTTCATTTTCACAAGTGAATGCTTGTACAGTGGCTTTGTTTTTCAAGCAGCAGAATTTTCTGTGTATAATTTGTTTCAAAAAATTGAAGGAAGGGAAGAAGAAAAAGGTTGATAATTTTAAGACCAGTTTACTTTTTTTAAATCAGTCCTATACAGGATTATTACAATTGTGACTTTTAATTAGCCTCCTGACATTGGTAGGTGATGTAATATCTTTATGATTGGTATTATGTATATGCTACTGCCTACATCCTTTTATGTTGTTTTGTTATATTTTATACATATTAATTAGATGTTATGCTATCTGTGAGTTATTTAGTGAAAATTAATATTTAAATGAAAATAAAGATTAATTTTCCTTAAGCATGCTGGTATTTATTTTTTTGTTCTAGAGAACACATTTTTCTTATTTTTAAAATGATTGTATTTCGGATAGATTAAGATATATGAACTGATATCTTCAAACTGATAGCAATAATTTTTAACAATAGATATTTTAAGCTTTACTTTCTGATTTTTTGTTTTTCTTTTTACTATTTGAATTATCTATTATGTGAGTGACAAATATCGATGAATAAATCTTTTGAATAAGATATACCCCTGTTCTAGTACCCTCTTGTATGTTGCATCTCAAAAGGCTGGTTATCTAATATCTCAAAACATGTACGATTTTCTGTGTGGTTAAGTGTGTTTTATACTTATGGTACAGCATGAATGTATTTGTAGCCACTGCAATGTGCAGTTTGATTCTTTGAAGCACTCGAGTAACAGATGCGGACAGAAATAATTTCTTTACCAGCATTCAAATGTGCATACATATCGTGGGAGCAACACTTTCTTTCTTCTTTCTCTAATGACGATCTTGCCAGCCCCCTCAGTTTGTGATCAAGGGACATAAACTTACAGATCTTAGTGGATTGATTGAAATCAACAAGACTGCAAAGGTGTCCCAACTTAAGCCTCTTGTCCTTTTGAGAAAAAAATCAAAGCATCTTGGAACTAAAGCTAGAATAGTGTTTACAGAAGACTTTGTTTGCCATCTACTTGTCTATTTAACCAGGTTATAAATTATTACTGAAAGACCTATTGGTAACCTTGAAAAACTGACTTTTCAGAGGCATGTTGTGGAGACATTTTTTGGATTTGATGAAGAATCAGTTGACTCGGAAACCTCATCTGTAACATCCTATAACACAGATAAAACCGACAGAACACCTGCAACGCCAGAAGAAGACTTGGATGATGTAAGTAGCAGAGTGTCTTCATAATAAAACAACATACAAAATGAATGGAAATATTTTTCCTATTTTTCAGTATTGTCTGCATTTGCAACTTGAAAACTTTTAAGTTGAGTAAAAGATTGGAAGGTATGAATTGTTAATAGTATGAGTAATTAGCCATTATCAAGGGTCATGATGATTTCTACATAACTGAAATTTTAAAATCAAGATTGGACATACTTTTGACTTATTGAGGGGAAGGTCTATGGCCTACCTTGTGCAGGAGGTTAAACTAGATGATCACATTGATCCCTTTTGGTTGAAATCTACAAAAACCACACTCCTATAGCTTAGCCATTGCAACACAGCTAGTAAGTGACAGCATTAGGGTCTGTGTCCTGATGCTTTCAGAATTAACCCTAATTAAATCAGACTTGGCAAATATGAGGAGTGCTTGAGAAATAGAATTTTTTATCACGTTAGCTCTTGCTTATGAAAAAAATCAGTGGGCACTTGCACTAACAAAATACACAGCTGCTTCACAGTAGATATATCTATTATATTATGATTTATTTGACTATTTTTGAATTGTCAGGTCCTTCTTGCTACAATTTTGATATCGAGAGAAGTTTTGTCAATTCATCAAAGCCTAAATAGTAAATATATGTGGACAGTTTCCTGTAATCTACATAATAAGCATTGTAACTGGGCTGCAGTAAGGAATTGCAAAGCCTAGGATAGGATGTTAAATCAAGGTTTCCCTAATGTGTTTACTTTATCATATTTTCTACCTTCATTTATACCCTCTCTATCTTCTACTCCTAGGCCCATCTACCATATTCTACCTAGCTTATTTACAGGGTCTCGTATTTTATTATTGTTTTGAGATGAATTTGTGATTTTTGAGTCTTGTGATATTGTTTGGGATACAGGCAGTCCCCGGGTTACGTACAAGATAGGGACTGTAGGTTTGTTCTTAAGTTGAATTTGTACGTAAGTCGGAACTGGCGTCCAGATTCAGCCGCTGGTCAGTTTCAGCAGCGGCTGACTTGGGGACACCTGGGGTAGAGCAGCTGGGGCGCTGCCGGGTTGGTCCCGCAGCGCCGCTCCTCGGCGCTACTGGACCAACCCGGTAGCACCCCAGCAGCGGCTGACTTGGGGACACCTGGGGGAGAGCAGCTGGGGTGCGGTGCTGCGGGGACCTACCCGGCAGCACCCCAGCTGCTCTGCCCCAGGCATCCCCAAGTTAGCCGCTGCTGAAACTGCCCAGCGGCTGACTACAGGAAGTCCGAGGCAGAGTTGCTCTGCCCTGGGCTTCCTGGAATCAGCCGCTGATCAGTTTCAACAGCGGCTGAATTTGGACGCCTGGGTCAGAGCAGCTGGGGGGCTGCCGGGTAGGTCCCCGCAGCACCGCACCCCAGCTGCTCTCCCCCAGGTGTCCCCAAGTCAGCCGCTGCCGAAACTGATCCGCGGTTGATTCCAGGAAGCCCGGGGCAGAGAAACTCTGCTTCGGGCTTCCTGTAGTCAGCCGCTGGGCAGTTTCAGCAGCGGCTAACTTGGGGATGCCTGGGGCAGAGCAGCTGGGGTGCTACCGGGTTGGTCCAGTAGCGCCGAGGAGCGGCGCTGCGGGACCAACCCGGCAGCGCCCCAGCTGCTCTACCCCAGGCGTCGTCGGCGAGAAAAGCCCTGTTCGTAACTGCGGATCCGACATAAGTCGGATCCACGTAACTCGGGGACTGCCTGTGTTTTTAACAAACTTTCATACTTAGGCTGTTGGAGTCCTTGACCCCTTTGTAAGCCCAAGTCCTGGATCAAGTTCTTGCTTGTCCTTTTTGCTCATTCTTAGCAATTTTGCAGTTCAAAAGGCTATAAAATAAATAATAATATATAGTAATGAAATATGTCAATTTCTGTATTTTCTACTACCTACTTTATAATCTGAAACTACTGCTAACCTTGTTTTGCCTGCACAAAGAGTTTACTGTATAAAGCCAGAGAAGCTAATATACTATTTTGCTTTTATATTCTTTTTAAGAGTACACCGAAAGAAGAAGCTGAATTAAGGTTCTGTCAGCTGACCAGAGAATATCAAGCTTTACAAAGAGCATATGCATTACTTCAAGAGCAAGTTGGTGGGACACTGGATGCAGAGAGAGAAGCAAGGGTAAACAATTTTTATTGAAACTTCTCATAAATCAAATACCCCTCATGTGAAATGTGCATTTGCAGGTCAGTGGACTGCAATGTAGTAAACGTTTTAATTAAGTGCTTTTGAGGGTTAGAGAATATTATAGTGAAACAATTTTGCTAGATTTACCAGACCTTTTTGGAAAAGTGGTTTCAAAATGCATCTTATCCTTCCTTTTTTAAATCACTCACAGTGTATTAAAATAGTCCTGTTTTTAAGTAATGCTTTCTAATTCAGAAATACAGGCCACCAGAAATTGCATGTGGCTGCCATAACAATGGCTTTACAAAGGATGAATTATCACATTATAACAGATATTTGTGTCAGACATGGAAACAAAGAGCCCAAAACAATTCTGAACTGGATCTGTCCTTAAGGCAATTCAGTAGGATAAATGAACGGCATAATTTTCAATTAATATTTCTCATCTAATACTACTGAACTAACAGTTTGCCCTGTTAAAACAAGCATCCATCTGAACACATATATGGTCCTCAAAGGCATTCATTGATTTCATCCTCTCAACACCCTCTAGGGTAAGGGTGCACTTTAGATATCTAATGCATGTTAGAGAACTAATCGGTGCTGCTCTGTTTGTCTGCTCTCTGCCAGTCTCCCTCTGCAACTCTCTTAACAACTCATTGTCTCAGCAGAAATCACCCTTCATAATCTTCTCTTCTCTTCCTTTATCGCCCATGCGTCAAAAAAACCATATATACTCCGTCTACTCTCAGTCTATCAATAGCTCACTCGATCAATGCCAGGCTCTTGTGCATTGGTGCACCTTAGTCCCTCCTCTTCTCTTCAGTAGCACACAATAATTACAGCCCTTACCTGAGGGCTGTAATACTGTAATCTAGTTCTAGGTAATGTAATTAGCGTGGGGGTGGCTGAATGCTAGTAGCCTGTGTCCTACAGAAGGTTGGGCTAGGTGTCCTGGTGGTCCCTTTGTAGCCTTAAACTCTGACACTTTAAAGTGAATCACTAAATTTTAAGAGCCAGGTCCTCATTCCCCTAGCTGTTCCCTTTTGTGCTGTTCTGGCGACTCTGCCTCATCCAACCAGTCGTGCACCAAGCACATCTCAGCATGGACCTAAAACTTGAACTGGTATCGGGGCTGGTGACAGACTTGCCAGGGTCCTGGGCAAGTTGGGGAGCCTTGGCTCTGGGCTGCCTGGAAAGGGTAGTGCTGAGGGCTATCCTGCCCCAGCCAGCCCACAGCACCTCCTGGACCATGCCGTGTGGGGCTCCAGCAGTGATTTAAAGGACACAGGGCTCTGGCAGCTCTTATGAGCTCCAGGCCCTTTTAAGCCCCAGAGCAGCTTCCCGCTTACTCCTTCATCCACTGTCATCAGCAGCCTTGAGTGGTATCCTCTATTAAATTACTTCAGATGCAGGGTCATGTGAAGACATGGTGAAAGTGTGTGCTACATCCCTGCCTTCAGTCTTACAAACCAAATGTTTTTATAGCCACTATAATATTTTCATTTCTCACAGTGCTACGCATTGTCTTATTGATCAGTGCAAACAATTCTTTCTGATTTCTAAATCCTTTAGAAAATGATTTCTTGGAGTCTTCTGTGTCTGTGAAGTTTTCTGGGTCACTCCATTCTTTCCTTGCCTGACACCACCTCTTTCACTTTCTAGACAAAAACTGAGATGAACTAACGTGAACTTCTTCCCCTCCAGAACAGTGCGTCTCAAGCATTTTCTGCTCTTGCCAGGTCAGAGAGAAAGAGATCTGACTGGAATAAAATGCATAGCAGTGCAGTATTGCTCTGCTCTTGAACTAATTTTTCACATACTACATATGAGCTGTTTGAAATGCAGTAACTTGAGAGAATTAGAAATACCTAGTTCCAACCTCCCAGAATGATTGTCAATTATTAGTGGGTGTGGAGGATTTAAAGAGCACCTATGTTTATCCATCTGTGTTTTGCTTGGCACAGAACCCCTTTCACAGTGTGTTGACATGTTCCATGACTATGCCATGCTGCCTAGTAGAGCTGGTCGGAAAATTTTCACACAACGTTTTCTAATTAGAATTTGCCGATTTGTCAAAATCTACACATTTAGCAGGTACGAATATATATTGTTGAAATTAGAGGGGCTGAGAAACGTTTCCTGCCTCCTCGGCTGGAAACGTTTTAGGCTGCGGGGGAGCCCAGGCTCCCAGGCAGCCTTAACTCCACTCTGCAACAATGACTGTATATCAGTAGCAGAACCTTAGCGTTTATATAGCATTTTGCAGGACTTGTTGAAACTTACTAATAAAAAGGAGGCCAATATCATTATTCCAGTTTTGCAGATGGGGAAACTGAGGTAGCGAGAGACAAAATAAACTTGCCCATGGTCATCCAGCAGGCCAGTGTTTACTGTAGGAATAGAGCATGAAGTTCCTGATTCCTGGTCCAGCCATACTGACTTTCTATGCTTGTGGTCCCAGATCAGATTAAATTAATTTTAAAGGATGCATTTAAATGGTTTTCTGTTGTTTTTCTGCTGTGTCCCTTGACTTTGAACATTAAGAGGAATGTAGTGGACTGAGCCTCTGAAATATATGATCATGTATAGAAGAGTCAAAGAATGTGTCAAGAAAATATTCCACATTATCTTAAATAAGAAAATAAGTCTTTTGTTGTACATCTGCTATCAATTTCTGCCTTTAATCCAAGGGTGGACAGTAAGCCAGGTGTGGCTCATCAAGGTTATCCCTGGAAGGGCTGCTGGAGCTTCATTTACTCACACCTGTGCAAGTACAGCAGCTTGAAGCTTTCATTCGCTGTGGATCACTCTTCCCAGCCAACGGGAGCTGAAGGAAGCAGCGTGAACCAGGACACTGCTTTCCACAGCTCCCATAGGCCGGGACCGGCAATCCATGGACAATGGGCGCTTCAAGCGGCCATATCTGCAGAGATGCAGGTAAATAAAGTGCTGGCGGCTGGCCAGGGGCTAACTCTGATGAACTGCATTCACCCATGGGCCAGTTATTGCCCACCCCTACTTTAGTCAGTGCTCTAGCTGTTGAGCACAGTGGGTTGCTTGAATGACATCTGCCATGCTGCTCTTAATCACATAATCGCAGCTGTCTTTCATTGTAGTCCCCAGGGTGACAAAAGAAGTTATTTTACTTCTTTTAAAAGGACATGGTTACATATTTTATTACAATAAAATTTCCGAAGCATTTTTGTATTTGATTGTCTTTCCTCTGTTTAGGGTGTAGAAGGTATTGGGGATTGATTTTTTTCTATAGTAAGAGCATTTAGGCATTTGAAGAAATGCACTTTAATGGAGTTTGTACCTGATGGCCTAACTGGTTTTCTTATCCTTTTCACGACTGACTCATCTGGAAGGTTTTCAGTTGGTTATGTCTTAAAAGGCCCAGTTCTGGGAGGTCATGAATTGAAATTCAGTGTGTTCAGCAAGGGCTTAATCCTGTTGATTACCAAGGGCCAGATTTTTTTAAAGGTATTTAGAAATCCAGAGATGCAGGTAGGTGATTTCGCACTTTTAAAAAATCCCACTAATGGGGATCTTGCAGTGCCTGCATCTCTAAACTAGCTTTATAATTCTGGCCTAAATACTTCCAGTTGTTCCTTAGAGATGAGGGCCTCAATACTTTGAAGGAGGTGTTCAGTGCCCCCACGTAATCAAGCACCAACTGAGGAAGCTTTGCAGCTGAAGTGACACAGCACCCATAAGGGAAGTACTTATCTTGAAGGATAAATAAATAAAACTGACTGACTTGTCAGTGGCATAAATTCTTAAATTGGGGTGGTGTGCAGTATTCAGGTACAGTGAGCTGTATTTAAGTTTATCGTCATACACATTTTACACACACCACACTTATTTAAAGTGTCTCAAGTAAACACCAAGTGTTGCAAACACTATCATTACTGTCTGCTTGGTACTGATTTTCTAGCATTAGTTTTTTAGGAAGTGCTTTCCATTAGGTTATGTGTTTCTTAGTTTATGAAGGAAAAATATTGTGTGAAAATGAATTAGGTAAATTCTTCACCAAATAAATATTGTAGTTTAATTGAAAACAATTGAAGTTTACTTCACTAGCTAACAATGAACAGGAAATATTGAATTTATCAGTATTTGATTTTTTTTTCAGTAAACTACACATGAAGGGGCGAGGAGTCCTGTGGCACCTCATAGACTAACCGAAGATTTGGAGCATAAGCTTTCGTGGGCAAAGACCCACTTCGTCAGATGCACGTGGTCTTTGCCCACGAAATCTTATGCTTCAAACCTTCGGTTAGTCTATGAGGTGCCACAGGACTCCTCGCCTCTTTTGCAGATTCAGACTAACACGGCTATCCCTCTGATACTCGTACACGTGAAGGGTACACCGTAATCTGTTGGCCATTGTGACAGTGTATGCATCCTTTTTTTTGTAACCTTTTCAGACTCGTGAACAACTGCAAGCTGATCTCCTCAGGTACCAGGCAAAAATTGAAGATCTGGAGAAATCACTGATTGAAAAGGGACAGGTAAAAGGCTCTATTAATGCCCTCTGTCAAATCATCCTTTCCTTTGCATGCAGCAGTGTTCTTGTCATCTTCATTGCTTGCTGGTGTATTAACATGTCTGATGCGGCTTAGTTATCATTCCACCTGATTAAAAGAACATATTATACGGACAGGAAAAAATCCTGTTGAAGATTTGTTTTCCAAAACAGAATATGCCAATGTCTGCATGAACATGGTTGTTAAATTTTTCCTTTTCTTGCCCAGCCCAGGCGCTTCTCCATCTTCTGGTTTTCTACTTTCACTGAACAAGTTTGGGCCATAATTTCAACAAAATGAATGGTATCAATTTCCCATGGAGACCATTTCTGGTCCGTGGCTGGAAAAATTATAAATTTGTTGCTACCACACACATTTCAGTTGCAAACAAGAACCACTAAAAGTGTGTTTGATTACTGGGATAGGCCCTTAGTCAAATCCCGTGATGAGCTGAATGCTCTCAACTCTCATCAGCATCACTTATATTGAAATTGGGACCTGGATCTCAATATAGTTTTTAGATAGAGCTTAGCATGGGTAAATCCTGGCTTTTGTCAGAGACAGTGTTCAGGGTCTTCAGTGTTCATTTGCACAGAACTATGAATGTGCATTTCAAAGGTGTTCAGTTTTATAACTAAAAATATCTCTTCAGAATTTCTTGGCTGTATTATTTTTATACCATGTTTATTGCTGAAAAATTAATTTAAAAATTTAAGTGTTACATAGTAATAAGTTGCATCCAAAAGTATATTTATAAAAGGAAAATAAAAACATATAATTAGTATTGAAATATTTCATAAACTTTTTATTTTAAGTTCACTCCATGTTATAACAATTTATTCAATGCAAGATGTGTATTTCTTAAGAATGCTGCTGAGTACAAAGAAATCTTTACCAAATTAAGGAGAATATAAATAATACTGCTAGCTTGCCCACAAGCACCAAATTTCTTAACAAGTGCTATGTAAATAAAGTGTGTGTGTATGTAAAATAAAACAGAATTGGGCAGTAGGTTATGAAATCTAAAATCTTCCAAGTCCCTAAGGCTTCCAAAGGGTAAATAAACTTGTGAAGACTACCACCTTTTGAGAATCTGTTGTCACTTTAGTATATTGGCAAATAAAGCTGCAGGAATTGTAGACCAAATGCTGCATCGCTAAAGCATTAACAAAATACTGTACTATGAAACTGTAAAGTCTAAACACCATGCATGTAAATTCAATCCGAGTGAAAATGAATACATACATAAAATAAGTTTTTTATTTGTGTTTTAAAATTGATGAGTATAATAGGTTTGTTTAGAAATTCGGTTTGATCATTTATTACCTTTTAAGATTCTTAACCACATTGCACTGATTTATCACCTAGTAATCCAGAGAAAGTAAATGTGCAAGTGGTGGCAGTATTGTGCAATAAAAAATTGTCTTCTGTGGGTTTAAAACTTCATCAGAAATCATTCCTGAGGGGCTCTGTTATATCCACACCTGCTTACTGGTTAGTTATATGGTAATGCTAAACTGTCAGTTCCTATAATTGACACAATAAATTTCTATTTGAAATAAACTAACTTTCTGTGAATAATGTGATTTTTTAAAAATAATTATTTAGCTTGAGGTCATCATGATTAAGTGTGAATAGTTCACTCAAAGGTGAGGCAGTACTCTCTAATGCTTAGAGCAAAGCATTATGAATCAGGCAACATACTTTCAAAAATGCATTTGTGAAGATTATCATGCTTATTTTTTAACACAGGCAGAGTGTGCTCACATGACTTTTCTAAAGTCAAACAAGCAAACAGTAAGAGTCAAGAATTTCAAAAAATGGGTGCCTAGTGTAAGGCTCCCAAATCTATATTTAGATGGCTAAATAAGTAATCTAATTTTCAACTGTGCTGAAGGCTCTCATTAACCTTATTTGAGCTTTCCTTTGCCTGTGTTTCCTTAGATGTAAAGTAGGAGTAATGATAAAACTTACCTCTGAACAGGATTTTGAGGTTCCAATATGAAAAGTACTACAGTAAGTTAAAAAGGGTTATTTATAATTTAACAATAATAGATAATACCATGTCTCCCAAAAATATTAGACATAAGGGCCTGAAAGGATCAGGATCAGATCCCTGAATAACCACAATTGCCACTGAAGTCCAGATCAAACGCCAAATAGCCACATTTTAAAAGGAGACAATATCTTGTTTTCAGACAAAATTAAACTTTAACAGAGGACATTCATATCAGGCATTTCTTCCATTGTAGACCAAAGTAGTTGAACCTGCGTAAAATGTGTACAATGCAGACTGGAAAGAAAACGGGACCCTTCTCAGCATGTCCATGGTTGGAGGTGTTCACCTCAGAAGTCTTTGTATGCCTGGAGTTCTTTCCTGTGTGCTTGTAGGCCAAAAGTGGAGAATAAAACTTGCCACTGTATTCCTCCCTACCTCTGAGCATCGCATTTAAATGTGAAACTGTCTATTAGCTTGTATTTCTTTGTGTTGTACATTGTTCTTCAATTCTATTCAGTGTACCTTTACTGTTTCTTGGTCTTTTAAGGATTCAGTCTGGTAAATTCTTTTAAAACTAATCAAGACAATCCTCCATCTCAAAGAAGTAATATATCTGCATGAAAATAAATGTGAACTTTTGTCTTGTGTCGGTGGGGGCAATATAAAATTAATAAACAGTCTACAATAACTGATAATTTGCTTTTGTGGCAATAATTAAAAATCTGTGAAATGCCTCAGCAAAGACTTGTTGATGTAAATAGTTACTGAATCAACATGATTTGGGCTGAGATTTTAAAGCAGCTTTGGGCTAGGATTGCCCAAGTCTCAATTCATTTGGGTGTCCAAATGTCCATTTTAGGAAATCTCAGGCAGAATACTGAACTATACCTGGTTTAGATTTCAGATAAATTTTCCCTGTTGTTAGATAAAAATTCATGGGGTGATTTGGAACAAATGTGTCACTTATGTTAGTGGTTGAACATATTATTAGAGCCATATGGGCATAATATTGCAAACACTATTGAGCAGAGTGGTAGTAAAATTTGTAGGATTGGGCCTTATGATCCTCATCCAAAGCCCATATGGAAAGAGACTCCTTGATGTCAACATACCAAGGATCCCATGTTATGAAATGGAAATGCAGACCTTTTAATAGTTGGAGGAGACCTGCCACCACCACCTTCCTTCTTTTCCACACCAGAGAGGCTGCACCTCTACCCATTTTCATTTCCAGTTGAGGACTGCTGACTGCAGGCCACTGGACTCTAGTTGCACTACTTATGGGTGATTCAATGCTTTCATTCCATTTCCCCGTAAAGGAGTATATCATAGAGCTAAAAGAACTAAAAGAACTACATTGTAAAACAAAGCTGCAGACCAAGCTGAAAACCTTTGAGTGAAGAAAAAGGACTAATTTCCAGTAACAGTAATCTTAAACTAAGTTGGGCAATTACATGACAGCATATACATATATGCATTTAACATTTTAATATGTAAATGATTCAGTTGTATGAAGTAAGAAAGAAAAGCAGAACTAAAAAGAAGTAGGGATTTATTATTTTTTCACCAGTCCTCCAAATATTTAGAATGGGTTTTGCTCTTTGATGTGGTTTTTATTTGAGGTAATGACTGAAATCATATAATTCTTATTGAAAAATAGGTGTGTGGGTTTTTTTTACTTTTTCCTCTCACAGGATTCAAAATGGATAGAAGAAAAGCAGCTCCTTATCAGAACAAACCAGGAATTGTTAGAAAAGGTATGTACTCACAATCAAGGTGCCATCTAATCACTTCTCTTCAAAGGAAAAGGATGTGTTAATTTTACCTTGACACGTCAACACTTAACTTTTCTTTCCTATTCAAACAATTTTCAACTGACGGTTGGAGATTAAAATGCTATAGAATTATGAGCTCTTTTGGGGGGGAAGGCTTGTTATGTGTAAAATCTCTCTCTCATTGGGGACTCAACCAGGTTGAGGCCTTGAAATGCCACCACAATATAAATATGAAATAATAATATTAAAGGAAAGGTAGCTGGGTTATGCAAAAATAAAAGGTATAGCAGAATTGCAGGACGCTTTTGGATTGTGGTCAGTACTACTCAATTTGTTCTATTTAATGGGATCACCTGTTTTTATTTGATTTTTTTTTAAATGGAGAACCAAGTATTTCAAGCAGCATTGATCACTTTACGATTGCGTGATTTAATAGAATCGAAATTTGTTATTTAGGGCCTGAGATACTGAGTGTCTTCAAGGCATTGATCATTCTCCATGGACTTTGATGAGAGAGTTGAGAGCACTAAGTACCACAGAGAATGAGGCCTCTTAATTAGTAAATTAAAATTATGTTATAAATTTAAAAACTTAACAGAAAGGAGAGTCAAAGAAAGATCCATGACTAAAGAACCTCAGCTAGGCTTATACTTCATTCAGACACTTTTACAGATGTTAAAAGCACTGTCTTACGTAGGGCTGCACCAAAGTCACAGGCCGTTGTGGCCAATTTCATGGCCATAGGAGCTGAAAGTTGGTAAATTTCTAATTTTGTTGTTCGAACCTTAAATTACATGGTATTGTAACGAAGGGGTCCCAACCCAAAAGGAAATTATGTGTGTTGGGGTGTGGGGTGGGGGTTTCCAAAACTATTGTAGGGGGTCATGGGATTACCACCCTCTCTGCTGTGCTGCCTTCAGAGCTGGACTCTGAAGGCAGCAACTAGAAAGCTTCCTGCAGCCACTGGATGTTCCAAGAGATAGAGGTGAGTCTGATGTCCCCCATGCTGCAGGGAGTCCCCCAGCCAGGGGCTCCTACCTGCTAGTCCTAGCCAGCCTGCGAAGGGGTAGCTCTCCTGGTGCAGAAAGCTCTGCACCTCCTGCTCCACGTTCTCTTCTGGCCCCCATCACTCCACAACTGCAGGAGACATCATCCTACAGGGTGTGTGCCACCCTCCCCCATCCAGATGCCATTATTAGCTTGTTTCAATGAGATCAAGAAAGGTCATTTGAACCTTGACAGGATTTTATTGACAATTTTTACAACAGCAAGTGACACTTAAGGCGCTCCCAGCAGCACAGGGCAAATCAGATTCATCTGCCTGCTGCAGCCGCAAGAACCTCAGGCTGCTGCCCAATCCCAGAGAGCATCTGGCAATAGGAAGAGGCACCCATTGGTGGGTATGATCTGGTCCTTCTGGCCTCCCCACCCTCAAAGCAGTGTTCAGGGAAAGGATAAGTCCTGTCCCTTCCCTGCCCAGTTGGAGCTAGAAGGCCCCCTTTGCTGCGGCTCTTCTAGGGCGTATCTAGACTACACGGAATGGTAGAAAGAGAATATGCAAATTCCCTGCGGAATTTGCATATCTTCATTCAACCGTTCCCTGTAGTCTAGATGAGCCCATAGGAACAAGGAGACATCAGATTTCACAGGGGAGAGCTTATTTTTGGTCTGTTACATGTTTCTCACAGCCATGAAATAGGTAAGGGCATGCAACATCTCCCTAGATGAGGCCATATGAAAGCAACATTATATCTTTTGCCACGAGAACATCTCTGGGGCTGTGTCTAGACTACACAGTTTTCCAGAAAAAGATACGTAAATTGTGAACCACAATTTGCGTAACTTTTTCTGCTTCTTTTTCCAGAAGAGGCTTTTCCATTATTTGGCCCATCTATGGGAAATGTTGGGAAAAAACCCTTTTTCGGAACATCCCTTCTTCCATGTAAAACGAGATTTACAGGGATGCCAAAATGTGGGGAAAAAATCCCTTTTTTGGAACATCCCTTCTTCCTCATAAAACGAGGTTTACAGAAATGCCAAAAAAAGGCATCTTCTGAAATTTTTTTTGGAAGAGCATGCGCGTTCCTTGGATGCGGCACAGTTTTTCCTGGATACCTATGGTATGCCGGAAAAACTCTGCAGTCTAGATGTACCCTGAGAGCTGGGAAGTTGTGAATGGTAACAGTGGTTCTCACTGGGCTGCATGGCTTCCAGCAAATTGTGTAATCTTCCTGTGCTTAGTTGCTACATTAGTAAAATAGAGGATGTAAATACTTTCCTGCCAATCTCACAGGGGTATTCTGAATGTTAGTTAGTTAGTGTTGGGAAGTATTTGGAAGATTTAAAGATCTAATAAGTGATGCAAAGTAAATATGAACAGACCATTTGAGTTTACATACTCTTCATTTCTACGCCAGTACTACTGAGTTAATTGTTAAACATTCAGCATTCATTTTTTGTCTTTAATTGCCGTCAAGATATACCTAAACTTCTTATATCTACTTCCAAAATGGCTTTATGTAGACTTGTCTCAGGAAAGGCCCAAGCAAGAATAGTCAATGACCATCCTCCGTGAGCAGTTTGCATCTACTCATGAGCCAGTAAAGTTCTTCTCTCCCTCCCAAGGTTGGTGTCCAACCATCCAAGCATGCAGGCCCTATTTGAAGTCAGTTGAAAGTTTTGACTTAGGTTCTGCTCTTGCAAGCATTCACTTACATGCTTAATTTTATGCACACAAACAATGACATCCACTCCAGTGGTAGTACTAAGATGCATAAAGAACATACATACGTGTTTCTAGGATCTGGAATTTGGAAAGGCATTTTGGGCCAAAAGTTTTGGACTTAGAATTTAACTTTTGCTATTTTAATAAGCAGTTCTTTGTGGAGCATTTAATTTCCTCTTATGGGTGTGGAGAATCAGTGCTCATAACTGGATACACAGCTTCTTCTATAGTTTAGTATTATGAAATTTTGTTATCGCCTAGATTTACAAAATGGAGCTGGAAGAGCATCAGCTGAAGAACGAGATGCAGGACGCAAAAGACCAGAATGAGCTGTTAGAATTCAGAGTGCTCGAACTTGAAGTAAGAGATTCTCTCAGTTGTAAACTCTCAAATGGAGCAGAAATTATGTTTGAACCCAAGTTGAAATACATGTGACGTTCACTGGTGTCTGCTGCATGTGTAAGGGAAAATACTATAGATTTTTTTTGAATGCTGTATGTTTGGATTCTGAAAATGAATACCACAGCCTTAATATGTTTTGGAGAGAATGCTCACTAATTTTTACGAAGATGTAAAATAGCTAATATATACTGCATACAGTTTGTTTTGCACCTAATAAAATATTTTGTTTTGCAATATTTTGCCTTTTTTATTTATTTCATTTCCATAACTACACCTTTCTTGCATGTGAAATCACTTGGTATGCATACTATGGACATGGTTGGCATTATTTCAATTAACACATCTTCTCACATCTTGCATGCAAGGAAGTCTAAGGATACAATACCTCCATCACATCAACCTGTAATTGTTTTTAATTAAACTGATTTTCAAATTGACAACACTAATATAAATAAAACAAACTTCAAAGGGCAGATTTGCATAGCTCCTTTTTGAAAGAATTTCACTTACCTGAATTCTCTTCTTTGCTGGTATAGAACATCAATGGATGAGACATTCATGAATGTCAAAAAATCAAATCTTACAATCAGAACTGTAAATTAAAAATGTGAGGCACAAATATAACTTGTGCAAGTGAAAGTAATGTGTTCTTCATAGCAAGCTTCTTTCACGAATACTTTCCTTTGAGTAAACATAATAATAAATAATAGATAAAGTATTTCCAATATAAAGCCTATAATTTCCATGGGAATGGATGGTGCTTGTCACCATCCAAGTTATGAATGTTATGATGGAACGTTATGAATGTTATGATGGTAAACTATTGCCACTATATTGGTGTAATGCATTGTCACATTACCTGATAACAACATATCCAGTTTGAAAAGGCCCATCAACATTTTATCCCCATTTATATATAAGAATAAATTCTACAAAAGACTCTGTGTTACAGTTCCATAATTTTCTTCATCTTGTTCATTTCACTAAAATCCTTGGCATGTATAACCTCCATGGTAAAAAATGAAAATCCTATTCTCATCATGCTATGTGATCATTCTGCTTTTAATCTTTGACTCTTCTTAAAATCTTTTGTTTTATTATTTTATTTTACCATCTTTATAGTTAAAAGTCCATAGCATGTAATACAGATTATTCACTATGAGATTTTTAGTGTCTCAGTAGACATTCTGGGAAATGAAAAATGTAGAGTAACTTGTATTCTGTATATTTTACTGATTTTAAATTAACATACAGAATAAGTTAAAATTGGCAGCTAATTTAACAACCAATTTTCCAAAATTTAAGACGTCTTGGTAAAATTGATCTCATGCATGTAACTAAAGAATCACATGAAAACTAAACTGTCTTGGAGTACAGTGTATTTATTCTCCTCATTGAGTACCAATTTACTGAATAACGACTGAAGGAATTTCATGTGATTGCAAGTAAAGCATGGAAAAGAAATCTCTCTCATGATGGACAAATGCATAGGCACAAAAATGACAGATTGACAGCTGTAGCAAAATTATGCAGCTGTTGGAGAAAGTATTTGCATGCCTGGTGTTAAACTGAATTATTTCAGATGAAAATTAGAGTAGATTAGGAAATAGCATCAATTGTCTGTCACTTAGCACAGACAAATAACAACATATTTTAATGTTGTACCTAAAGATTAAAATTAGATTTTGTATAAATTAGGTATATGTGCAAGCCTCTATAGGAGACAATATGTGGGGGAAAAGGTGATGTGAAACAGAGCCTTTCACCTCTGGGTTGCAGCTTTAAATTCAGTTTACATTGGTAATGACCAAGTCATTATCTTTTGGTGACTTGTAAAATAAGAGCATGGTTGGAGCTCTTTTCACAAAAGGTAAGTGTCAATATCACAAATCAACAAAATGTCCTTCTTTTGTAGTTTTGGAAGTCAGGCTTTGGACAGAATGGAAATGGCAACTGAACTGTCCTTTCACCACTATTTATTTCTGCAGAGCAGAGCTAAAACTTCTTCGGGGAGTTGTGGGGAAGCTTGAACTGCTGTATGCCCATGCTATCTCTGTGCTGTGAATAAAGATGGAAGTTGGGGTGATTTTGATCTCATTTACACTGCTGTAATTCCACTAATTTCAGCAGGGTTACTCTTGTTCAGAATAAGGCCCAGACCTACAGCTTCCAGATCTTCCAATCCATCCACTTTTATAAGCACATCATCATTTAATAAAAGATCCTCATTTGCTGAAAGAATACAGCTATTCCATGGAAATAATGGATCAGTATTTTGAAGAAATCCATGAAATGTGCTGAATATATTTTTAAATGTTTCAGTTTTAGAGAGAATCTCTTCTTGGCACAGAAAATGTTAAATAGAAAGTAGAATGTATTATACAAAACTGAGATGAGTAGTGAATTGCTGGACTTGAGGAATTAAAATGCGGAATGTAAGTTTTTAGCTATCTGCATTGCTAGTTTAGTCTGGTTAACATTAAGATTTATTACTGAAAAATTTCAGAACAAAAATGCATGTCATTTTAGAATAGACACAATTTCTTCAAGGTCATAATACTGACATTTTGTTCTGCAGCCTCACAATTGTCCGCTTAATATGAAATACTTTAGAGGACTATCTAAGTTCCCTATCCTTATTATTGGATCCATATAAGTGGACCATTGCTTTCAATGTTGTATAGGCTCTGCTTGCATGGGTTCAATTATTGAATGAGGACTTTAGTGCTCACATTACACCAAAATCCTTAAAGTACCCTGAAGAGCATGAAAAACTTCTTGTGCTTTAACTGTGATTAGGGATCTACGGATTTCTTAATATCAGTAAATTTAGGTTTGTCATGAATAGCTTGGGGAGAAACTAACATTATTGTATAATCATATATATTGTTTTTTTTAAATGAAATCTTCCCTAGGAGAGAGAACGAAGGTCACCGGCATTTAACCTCCATATAACCACCTTCCCTGAAAACAATGGAAGTGCACTTCAACTGTTCTGTCAACAGGAAGGAATAAAGGTAGATGTGGCTTCAATTGCTCTTACGATGGTTGGCTAACCAGGAGCATTGTCAGCAACACCCCTGTACCTACATGAACACTTTAAATCACAGTTACCTTAGTACAGCAGTGATTCAGATGTAAGAAATAGTTTTCTTCAGCAAAGAGAAAGATATGATCAAGTTCTGAGAAAAGAAAGCTGTAGGATGAATAGCAGGTGAAAGAGATTTCCTGAAAGAATTCTTCTACTTAGGTATGTCCACTCTGCATGGCTATGTTGGGATATCAGAGGTATCCCAAAATAGATACCCCATGTCTACACAAGCCGCCCATTGTTTTGAAATATTTTTTTAAATAATGACCGCACTATTTTGCCATCCCAGTAAACCTTGTTGCACGAGGGATAAGGAATGGCTCGAAATAGCATGTTGTTTCGAAATTTGGCACTGTGTAGATGTGTCAATTTTCAAAATAGCTATTTCAAAATAGATTTGTATCTTATTTCAGGTTTAGGGTGCTGTGTAGATGCACCCCTAGACTGCCAGGTATTCTTCCAAAATGAATGCCAGTCACTTGAGAATTTAGAAATAGCTTAAACTGAATAGTAGAAAATATATGTAGGGAAGAATATGATATGATCAGTTGATTTGTCATATGACTCCACATTTATTCAATACCAAATGTACAGTTGCTGCCAGAAAAGTGGCACCTTTTCCATTATTGGTTATGATCCCTGTAATGTCTCCAGGAGGACCTAATACAGCAAAACAAAAAAATAGGTTTACAGGATCTTTCGGAAAAGTCTTGTCTTTTCAAAAGAACTGTGTCTAAACTGCGGTTTCACTTTCGAAATAGTGTTTTTTTAAAGAAAGCTGTGATGCAATTATTCAAATGAAGCACAGGAAACTCAAATCCCAGCTTCATTTGCAATTTCGATATGTCAAATTTACATCCCTCTTTTGAAAGAGGGATGTAGTCTAGACATAGCCTAAGTTTTTTTGCTGAATCAGGGCCCGGGACCATAAGAAAATTTATGCAAAGTCTTCTCAACTCAATGTGACCCTTTTTCCATTAGTCTCCCTGCCTTCTGCATGTAGTCCATGCCTTGCCTATGGACACGAAAACATCTTTGTGCTGAGACAGAGCTCAGGATCTATCAAGCCTGTGTATTACCTGTACTGCTATATGGGTCAGAAACCTGACCCCTGACAGGCAGACTTAGGAGCATTCCTGTATGTGCTGTTAGTGCCAAATCCTGAGCAAAAAGTAGTTTAACTTCATGCAAAATATCACAATCTTGTCATAATCTGGTCCTCCTTTCCTGCTACTCATACACCATCAACCATGGCTGGCTGGTGCCTAGTAGACATTGAGTTTGATTTAACTTGGTTTGTTTCAGTTGGCTTTAGATGAGGCCCATGATGAGCATATAATAAAGTCAATATCCAACACCTTACCTGCGTGCCTCAATGAGACAATTAAGTTTTACATGAATTGCTAGCCTTTCGCTGACATCACATTTAGTGTGAATTCGTTTCCATGCTGGTTCACCCACAATTCAATTCAGAATCTGAAATATCAGTGCAGTGCACAATAGGTCAAAGAGAACACAAACGGACTTTTAGACGTCAGATTCAGTGGGCTTTACTGGCAGTCCTAAAAATGTTTTTCTTTGTGAACTACAAAAATTAGATCTAGAAATCACTGAAATACAACGAACATGAATTTCACCATGCTATTGTTAGAGTATCTTGTTTGACCGTAACTACAGTAGTCCATACAATGTGCTAGCAAACTATAACACAAAAGATAATTTATATGCTCGCTATCTTACTGCTTATATAAAAAAGAGGTTAACGGTAAAGGTCCTGTGAACATTTTACTGTGTACCAGAATGAAATGCCTTAGTAATCACAAGTCTGTTAGTAATGAGTAATAAACTTAAAATTTTAGATTATATATCTTTAAGAAACAGAATTATAATGAGACTTTCATCTCATATGCCATTGAAAGTGACCAATTAACATATTCCCTTTGTAATACTACCTTCATGGGACCCGGAGTCTTCTTTAACCTTCCTCTTAGTAGTCAAATATACTGTAGCAGATGCATCTTTTAGAAATACATAGATTTATATAGATTTCCAGTACCAAAAGTTCACTATTTTTAAGTGGCCTTTCATTTTAATTTTGACATGACAAAAGCTGTTTTAATATTTATTAACCTGTACTTCCATTTACTCATCTAAAAAGTGGGTAAAGTATATTGTACCACACAGGGTTGTTGTGAGGCTTAATTAATTGTTTTAATGCGTGAAAGCATCTTGGGAAATGATTTTAATGTCGATTTTTTTTTTCATATGGCATAGATTTAAAATGTGATTTGAATGTTAAATATTCCCTTACAATCAATAACTAAATTAAATGAAAAAAGAATAAGTATTTCTGTGCTTAATAGGATTAGTAAACTAAAAATGATGCATTTCTAGATCTATTCTATTAATCTGTTTTGTATCATCTATTTCTACTCTTGAGACTGATTTACCACAGGCATTATTCATTTAATAGTATTAGAGATTACTCCAAGTGAAAAGTCTTGATCTGAAGACTAGCCCAAACACCAATTTTGAGATGTGTACAGTGCAAAAAGTCCATGTGAAAATTAGTATCTTATACATGTGATGTATATTTTCCTTTATGAACAATGAATATTAAATATTTTCCAGGATGTGAATATTTCTGAACTTATGAAGAAGCTTGATATCCTTGGAGATAATGGGGTACCAATTTCTTTATTTCCAATATCTTTCTGGTTTTGTGTTTGTTTGTAATTGACACCTTTTTTGTTTGCTTACTCCCACAGAATGGCATGCCAGCAAATATTCATTAAGGGACTTTTTATGGATATATTTCCATATACAACAACAAATGTTAGGGCCCATTTTTGCCAATATAGGCGCACTCCCTTCAATGGGAATTGACAGCAGGGGTCACATATGTGTTTTTCAGGACTGAAGTGTGTCCCTGTTGAATGTCTCTAAAAGATGTTGCACAGGGAGCACACACAACATCACGTAATAAAAGTTAGAACAAAATTAGGAGTAGGAAATAAGTTCAAATGCATTTTTCTATATTGTTTCCCTCACATATTAATGCAGAGGTGTAGCTTCTACAAGGGTGCCTGTACACAGGAAAGAGTTTTACTTTGTCTGATCCACAAAGTTTGAAGGTTAGTTCTAGGTTATATTCTGTGCAGTAAGTTCCAAAAGCATTCTGAAAGCATGCAATGTTGTTCTGTTAAGTTACAGGGCTAATTCTGTAATGCTCCCTAGGCTTCAGTGCAAACATTTTTTTTTTTTTGCATTGAGGGCAGTCCAACTAATTAATATTTTTCCCATTTAAAAAAATCTCTAGTTTGAGACCATCCTAGACTATGATGTGTTTTCAAGGCATACTGAGAATGATGCAAGGAACTAACAAGTGTAGGGCTTGTGCTCACTTACTTTATCTTTATTATTTGTAATCACTGGATATTTTCTGTGCTTGTTTTTTTTTAAGAAAGAAAGTCAATGTTCTGTGATACACAGAATAAAATCAAAATCACTCTCATTTGTAATGAAGAATGGATTTACAATCCAATGTAAAATGCAGTTGCACCTTTTTGTATTTTAGAATTTGAGAAATGAAGAACAGGTTGCAATAATCCAAGCTGGGACTGTACTTTCCCTCTGTGAAAAGGTAGAATGCACTAAAGACTTTTGTTTGCATAAACACTGAGCATACCATCCTGGAACTGGCATGATCGGTCAGTGGCGCATGGCCTTTGTGTTCATTAACATGGAAGTGAGCATGGAGGCAGCATAAATCAGGGCTTTATTGGGACTGTGCTTGTGGAGGGCCCAAATAAATAGTCAGGCATTTCAAATATAACTTCAAAAATGGAAACTTCCACCCGCAATGTCATTAAAACAAAGCTGTAAAAATATTTTTGGATAAAAGAGGGCTATGATAGGGAATGCCATCAACCTCAACTCCCACTGATCTTTTTTGGAAATTGAGGGCACTCAGCACATTCTCAGTGCTTTGCAGGGCTCATGCCATGAAGATGTGTTCTGGATCCACTTCTCCAAGATGCTGGAAACCTCCTGGGAGGAGCTGAATACCATCCTCCCTCATGGAAGTCAGTATACGAGGAAGGTGGTCAGCACCTCACAAGACTGCTCTCTTTGTGTGCCACCTGAGCATTCTTTTGAAAGGACACCATAGGCTACTAGCTTTTGAAAAATTGGCCTTAATATTTCTCCATTAAACAGCCATAAATGTATGTCTCTCAAAACAATAAAAAATACTATACTGCTCTTTAACTTCCCATTCATTGCTTTACCTAACAGTATATATTATGATGAATGTCTTGCTAACTGTAACTTGCATGATGTTTTACCTCTTGAATCACACAGTTCAAGCACTTTGCACCATTATCTTGTTATCTCCCTTCTTGTGCCACATGGGAAAACTAGAATTATGAAAACATGATTCAGTATTTCTGTTGTTAGGGCTTAGGCCTCTCCTGGGACTTCACTGAGCTAGCATCATAGAGCTGCCTTGTGCTGCTGTGTATTAAGTAGAGAGGTTTAGAAACTCTTTATTGAAGAGTGTTTAAGTTTCCTGGCTGGTATGCCTGGCAGTCTTTGCCAGCATAAAAAAATATAAACAGTTAACTGCTCTTGGAAAATAACAACTTCATTTTACACACAGTCGTAAAAACCAATTGTAGCCAGCAAACAACTGAAATGATATATAACAAACCATTTATCATTTAAATAATGTTTTAGTTCCCAACCTGATAATTTTTGGTAGGTCTCTCTCACTCTCTCTCTCTCTCTCTCTCTCTCTCTCTCTCACACACATTGAGTAATCTTGCTACCTTTTCCTTCTTGTCAGTCGTCCTTGTAGTTCAGCAACAGATCTGTGATCAAACAGAACAGATTATTATGCCTTCTGATGCTCACAACTCAAAGGAGGAGGAAGAGGTCCAAGAGGGTATAACCCATTTTTAGAAATATGATCTTCACTAGCACAACAATATCATAGAATATGACAAAAATAGTTTCCATAGGATGTATAAATTAGACAAGTCACCCAGTTCTATGTGTTAGCAGAACTTGCGCTCCACTTTCATCATTTGAAGAGAGAATGTAGTAATTAAATCAATAGCAATTTCAGTGAAATAGGATAAGAAGGAAAACATTTCCTTTTTATTAAAGAGGCTGCTATTGGGCCCCCTTCTAGTAAATCTGCTATTTGTAGGTTTATCTCTAGCCCTTCCATTTCTTAATTTCAAAATGGAAGGCTAGCGTGACAACACCATTCAGGTTAATTGGCTAATGATTCAACCAAGTGATTCGTGTAAACAACATGAAACTGAATAAGACTCTACAAATGTTCTCTCTGTCACCCCAGACAATCTTGGACCTTAGGCTCTAATAAGAAAAATAGAGACATCTACAGTAAATGGGTAGATCAGTAGACAAGAGGAAGTGCAAAATTACACACGCATTAAAGGCTGGACTAGGCAGCCCATACTCAAGCTGGTTTATATTCACAAGAGTGGTGCCACTGAAACCAATGAGACTATTTGAGTGAGTAAAGGTCACACAAGCTAGCCCTTTTATAGAGAAGTTAGTGACCACTCACATGTTATTTCCATTCGTATCCAGTCATAGCAATCCAGCCTCGAAGAATAATCAATTTGTTGTCAATATGGGAAATCCTTTATAACAGAAAAAGAAATGATAAACAGGGTTTCAGTTCTTAAAATAATGGGATATTTTACACTTCCCCTGCAATTTTTTTTGTGCTTAACTCATAAGAAGTCTCCCTATTGACTTCTATCAGTCCTCAGCTGACATGTGGAGATTTTTTATGATAGTATTAATATGCAATCAGCTTGTTCAAAAAGGCAGTCTTTGTTTCTGTCCTTCTAACTAATGTCTGATTTTAACACGAGTCTATTTCTTTACTTTTACACCACTGTAGTTTGAGTGCCTCACAATCAATTAGTAACTTAAAACTTAGTAATGAATTAATCCACATGACACACCTGTGAGACAGGGAAGTTCTATCCCCATTTTACTGATGGGGAGCTGTGGCACAAAGCAAATTAAACTGAACCTGGGTCTCTCCATGTCCTATCCACTAGACAATAATCCTAATCCATGGAGACAGCATTAATTCACTGACGCTGTTGCATATTAAAATGTACCTGTAATAAAGTGGGAATCATATTGCAATCACAGATACACAGAGTTCAATTATAGAGCCTTTTATTGGTGCACGCAGTCTCAGTTTTCCCCTTCCACTTTACTGTAGAAAACAGCTTCCTTCTGGTCCTATCACAAGGGTAGCTAGTTTGAGTTGCCCTAATAACCGAATCCAACCACTCAGTCCACTGAGTTCATCAACGCCTTAAACACCGGTAGGCAAACACTGCAAATGAAGAAGAAGAGATCCAGGCCTCCCTATAAGTACTTTAAAGTGAATTGAAAAAGTGCTACATTTCACAGGACCTGAACATGGGGTTTAATGCTTAAATAGGCAGGATGCTGCCTGATGTTTTGATGCTGTTAATTAAAGGCAAAGGTGCAGCACATGTAATGCTTAGGTGTCACTGATCTCAGGAGCTAGCAGGAAAATGAAGAGTTTTGAATTTTATCAGGCAGTGAGTAAAGAAATACATTTCAGCTATTTTAAAACACATGACATTTTAGTGTGTCTGCATGTGTATATATAACATACGGGTGGGTGAGCCATATTTTATTGGGTCAACTTCTGTTGGTAACAGCAACAGTTAGGATCCAAGACTCTCTGGTCCAGCAGCATCTATGGACCAGCAGGACCACAGATGTTGCTGGACCAGAGAACCCTGGTGGCTGAAAGCAGGGACCAGCCAGGAGTTCAGTAGAGTAGCCAGTGGCTGGGATTATAGTTGGGGCCAGCGGCTGGGGCTGGGAGCAGGGCCGGGAGTGCGGCCAAGCCGGGAGTATGGATGGGCCTGGGGCCCTCCCCCAGCCAGTAGCAGTGGCCAGGAGAGCATCCAGGGTTGATGGCCAGAGCTGGGAGCAATGCGGGGGCTAGGAGCACAGTCAGGGGACAGCCTGGTGGACAGAAGTCTGGTGGCTCCCTGGGAGAGACTGGAGGCCAGCATCAGGGGCCCCAATTGACCACTCCTGGTCCGGCAAACTCCCTCATTTGGGACCGGTCAGGTACCAAGTGTGCTGAACCAGAGAGATCCAACCTGTACAAGCTTTAAAGCCCCACAAAGCTTCTCGTCAGGTCTCTCTCTCTCTCTCTCTCTCTGTTTAGCAGAAGTTGGTCCAATAGAAGTTACCTCACCCAATTTGTCTCTGGAATATCCTGGGACCAACATAGCTACAACTACACTACATCTATATTGAATATATGAAACAATGGCTCTGTGGTTGGGGTGTTTACATGTGCACAAGATACAGCACTGAGCCTCCCAAAACCAAGTCTCAGCCTTTCAGCAGATCCTGAGTGACCCTGGGTAACTCATTTAATAACACTGTTGCTCAGCTTCCTTGTCTTTTAAACGAGGACAGTAACACTTCCCCACTTCATGGTTGTCTTGCTAGCTAGGATAAATTCAATACCTGTAGAATGCTTGGAGATCCTCTGATGGAATAGCCTTCTGTAATCCAAACTACATAGAGACAAAGAATAGCTTTTAGAGAAGTATGGAGTATGAGTATGAAGGGAATAATACAAAGCAAAACACAACAGCACACATTTTTATAATCATAGAATCATAGAATAATAGGACTGGAAGGGACCTCAAGAGGTCATCGAGTCCAGCCCCCCGCCTCAAGACAGGACCAAGCTCCATCTACACCATCCCTGACAGATGTCTATCTAACCTGTTCTTAAATATCTCCAGAGAGGGAGATTCCACCACCTCCCTTGGCAATTTATTCCAATATTTGACCACCCTGACAGTTAGGAATTTTTTCCTAATGTCCAATCTAAACCTCCCCTGCTGCACTTTAAGCCCATTACTCCTTGTCCTGTCCTCAGAAACCAAGAGAAACAAATTTTCTCCTTCCTCCTTGTGACACCCTTTTAGATATTTGAAAACCACTATCATGTCCCCCCTTAATCTTCGTTTTTCCAAACTAAACAAGCCCAGTTCACGAAGCCTGGCTTCATAGGTCATGTTCTCTAAACCTTTAATCATTCTTGTCACTCTTCTCTGTACCCTTTCCAATTTCTCCACATCTTTCTTGAAATGTGGCGCCCAGAACTGGACACAGTACTCCAGCTGAGGCCTAACTAGTGCAGAGTAGAGCGGCAGAATGACTTCACGAGTTTTGCTTACAACACACCTGTTAATACAACCTAGAATCATATTTGCTTTTTTGGCAACAGCATCACACTGTTGACTCATATTCAACTTGTGGTCCACTATGACCCCTAGATCCCTTTCCGCCATGCTCCTTCCTAGACAGTCGCTTCCCATCTTGTATGTATGGAACTGATTGTTCCTTCCTAAGTGGAGCACTCTGCATTTCTCCTTATTAAACCTCATCCTGTTTACCTCTGACCATTTCTCTAACTTGCTAAGGTCATTTTGAATTATGTCCCTATCCTCAAAGAAGTTGCAATCCCACCCAGTTTGGTATCATCTGCAAACTTAATAAGCGTACTCTCTATCCCAATATCTACATCATTGATGAAGATATTGAACAGTACGGGTCCCAAAACAGACCAGTGTTATAAGTCATGCATTAATTTCATGAAATTTAAATTAAAAGGCATGAATTGAGGGCAAATAAGAATTTTGTTCTATGGAAACAGGAAGAATAATACTACATAGGATTCATAGGCCAAAAATTCTGCTTTAGTTTACAACAATTCAAGTCCAAAGCATCTCCATTGGTCTCTTCAGCAGCCTAATTGTAGATTTGAGTTTGTATCATAAACAAAGAAAAGGGTGGCCCAGTAACTGAGTAGTAATTAGCTTCCATTTGAATTTTGTGTGTGCTTTTTTGGTATTTCCATGGAGATAGAATGTTCCTTAATCAAATAAACCATCATATCATTTCCCTTTTAATTTTTGTAAGGAGCCAAGGCCGTGTACCCATTGACACCATGATTATTACATTTGCATAGACACCTACATACTACATATCATTACATTACATGTTTATTCAAATCACCTATGCTTTCAATACTCTGCCTAGGTGTGAGACTTCTGAGAATCAGTCTGTCAGACAGGGGAAAGCATTGGAAAGTGTCTAAGTAGCAATTTTTTAGTATGAGTCCTGCTGATGTGCCCTGACTCTCCAGCAATGCAGCTTAGATATGGATTAGGATATAGCTAAATATGGCCTCATAAACTACAGAATCTTTTATTTCCCTTAACCACAGCTCAATTTCAACAAGCTCCAAAATTAGCTTAATATACCATTTCCCTCTTCCAAAAGGTTAGACCAATATAGCATAACGCTAATATTTATCAGCTACATATTGGGCCCAACTCTGTGAAGTGCTGAGAATTTCTTGCAAAATAGTGAGCATCTTTAACATCTGTTGGCTTAACTGGGTCTTGAGGTGCTCAGTATGACACAGGATCAATTAGTGGCAAGGGTCTGCAGTTTGTGGAAATAGTTCCCTGTGCCAAACTGTGTTGAAATTCTTCTCCTGAAACAGCATCAGATAGGTATCTGATAGTTTCATCCATGGAGAAGTGTCTCAAGGTCATAGGGATAGTAACAAGCCTCCATTCCCACTGTGGGAGAGGGTGAATCAGACACACAATGGAAGATCTGGGCATAGACCACTAGGTAAAGCATAGTAGTGGCAGGGCAGTGGAAGAAAGATGTCCTTTGGGATCAGATATTAGATAAGTACATAGAAGTGCACAGGAAATGAAGTCCCAGTCCAACAGCATATAGTTCCCTGTTCAGAGCCTTTTATATAGATTGTGTGCAGAGACAGGCTGCATGGAGGTAGTCTGAATGGGGAATATGAAACAACTTTGTAAAATTAATTTATCTCCATTAATTTAGAGGGTGGCACAAATATTATCATTGGAACAAAATCTCTTTTTTTTTCATTTGCTTTATATGTTTTTTAGAAGTTAACCCTACCAGGAAGGCCAAATAAATGTTCATTTTAACAAGGAAAGTGCAAGTTCATATAAAAGAGGAGTGAATTTGAATTTTGCCTTCCATTAGCTAAAAAGATGCCTCTTGTGGTTGATTTTATGAAAGAATTTGCATTCTTCAAATCCAAACATCTAACCTCTGGATCACTGACTGTAGTTTTTAAATTCTGACAGGGGGTCGTTGAAAACATTTGATAATGTGAGAGCGTAGCTGAACTCACAAAAAAAACCCTTGATTAGAAACAAAAAATGCTTATAAGAAGCATTATGAGATTCTTAAATATCAGTAGAACCCTAAATTACAGCAGGTTTAAATCAAGTTTTAACACTAAAGCTAGAAAAGATTCATCTCTCTCCAATACTTGTGTTTAATATTCTAAATGCTCAACCTTGTTTCTGTTAGCGACGCAAGAAACTCCTATTGACTTCAGTGAAAGCAGGCTGTGCAAAAATTACCATTTATCTAGATGTACTGTAAGGAAATCCTGCAACCCAATAAAGAAATGAAATAAAATAAAATGATGAATGAAAATTCCCACCCAGCTTGATAGCCCCTAAAGATGAATGTTAGCATACTCTTAGCCATCGTTAATATTTCATAAGCAAGGCCCTTGTGTTCCATTATTTTAATTTTCACTGTGTGCATTGGAATGCAATGTCCGCTTTTTTTAAGCATTAGAATTAGAAATTGATCTGATGACTTTCTTCAGACAGTGCTGCCTACCTATCTTAATCTTCACCTACCTTTCATACCCTGTCATTCTAGTAATGCGCATGCTCCCGGCAAATGCTGTGAATTGTGCCATATAAATGATGGATTCTGCAATCTTTTCTCTTGAAAAGACTCTTCCTGATTTAAGTTACCATAAATAAGGATTGTAAGATTAGGCCTAACACCATAGGGTGGGTTTGTGATGTAGACAAATGCACTGGAGGAGCAGCAAGGACAAAACCATCAACTCATTTTGCATTCTTGACCACAGTCCAATTTGAACATAGGCCTTTGGAGGAGGAAGGATTAACCCATTATGCTGTAGCAGCCTCCTTATTAGACTTTATTATTTCCCAGGTCCTCACTCCTCATTTATTTATCTGTAGTTTGAAAAAGCTGACCAGCTAATAGTGTGTGAAGCATGCAGTTGGGACTGTCATCAACAAAATAACTTACATCCCTTTCAGTGTTGCTCTTCCAAAGGCTGTGTTCTCACCTTTTTCTATTCCTCTTGTTCCTGCTGTGTTTATAAAGTGGCTAAAACAAATAGAGGGAACAGAAGCTGCGCTGACACAGAAGATGTTGGACCTGGAGAACGAGAAGGTAAGAAATGATCATTTTAGGAAAGTCACTCGCTGAACTATAACTCCATTGCACAGAGAAATCTGTAAACATGATGACATATTTAGTAGTTGCCCTTTTCTATGTAATAGGAATGACCTTGTGGTGCTGTCAGGAATAGATTTCTAAAACACTCTTGAACAGTGAATGCCTTTGAAGTGTAGAGAAACAACTAATTGAACTGAGACTGAAATGGAGCGGTACCTACAAAATACCACACAAAAGGCACACTTTTCCAGGGTATAATAAGTAAACTATATGAAACTTGTCTGCATGCTTTCTACATGTGTTATTTTGTTTGGCACCAGCATGTTCTTTGGAGTCTTTAAGTCACATTTCAGTAGAATTGCACCAGGGATTAATTTGCCCTACTAAGGCATGTAATTTCAACTAATGAAGTCCTCTGCTTACTTCCACTTTTTTTGTCTTAACCTCTCTTCCCTCTCAAGGACAGATGAATTCCCAAGTGCAATTAAGTCTTTCACTACAAATTTGATATGATAGTGAGCTGTCCTTTTGCTGTATGTTCTATAAAGATTTTCTGAATGAATGTTTAGCTTTGTTGATTTATCATGCATGTAGTGCTTTTCATCTTCCAGTTGCTTTACAAATACTGATTAATCTTTGCCATACATTTTCTGGGTAAATACATAATAATCGTCCCCCATCTTACAGAAAGGGAGACTGAGGCAAATGGGTGAAGTGACTTTCTTATCCCTGGCTGTCAGTTGCAAGATTAGAATTAGGTTTTCCTGGCTCATTGTGTGGTTCTCAGCCTGCTTTTGAGAATGGGGCATGGTACCAATGATCATGCAATGCAACATGTGAGCCCTTTCATCCATTTTATGCCAAGAATTGTTGTATTTTATCTCAGAGTTGAAAAAAAAATATAGGTAAGTATTTTTAGAGAAAAATGAAAAACATTAGATTGTTTTTAAAAAGTAAATATGTCATCTCTAACTTGGTGGACACATGTTTTCATTTGTACTCTGTGATATCTGTAACTCATGTTCACTTCAAGCTTCTGAGTATATATGCACCAAGTAACTGTATGTATTTGATTAGCTCGGAAATCAGTCAGTCTAAATAGCAATAGTCACCTCTTGCCAAGCATAACTTCTACAATGAATATGAAAACATATTTTACAGTGAGATTTTCAGAAGTGCCCAGCATTGGCCTAGCTGCTTCCTTTGGGGAGCAGAGTTAGGCCAATGACAAGTGCTTCTGAAAATCCCATCTTTTACAATTTAACTCTCTTGCTGGGAGTGGCCACCTTGCTTAAATAATAGTGATATCCCCTGAGAGTTAGTAGTCCTGTGGCTAGGGCACTTGATTCGATTGTGACTCATTCTTAGCTCCTCCACTGACATGCTATGTGCTTTTGAGCAAGTCACTTCCCCTTCTTATGCCTGTCTCCCTTCTGACACTTTCTCCTGTCTTTTTGGGTTTGCAGGCTCTTTAGGGCAGAGATTATTGCTTATTGTTTGTTTGTACACCACACAGTGGGGCCTGGATCTTGACTTTGGCCTCTGTGGGTGCTCCTGTAACAGAAGTCATAGTGATCAATAATTGTGCCATTGGTATATCCAGTGTCCAACAGTGAAGTAAATTCCCATTCTGCTTTTATATTGGTTTATGAATCATCAAAAACTTCAGTGTTGAATAAAATTTTAAGACATTATATACTACAGTTTGTATATGAATTATATCAGAATGAAAACAGCATGGAAACTCCTTGCTCGTGTCTTCCACATTTGACTTCCTGACTGCCATTGTAAGAAATAATGGCTTGTTTCAACAGCTGAGATACTTCCAATAACAAGGAATAATATATTATAATTCATTCTTATGCTTACTGCCTCTTCAGACTGTCTAATTGCTGGGCTGAGCAATTTTTTAAAGCTACGTAGCATGGGAATTTAGATTTATTACTAATTATTGATGTTTGGCAAAATTCTGTCTGTATACTTTGGTGCACAATTCCCACTGATAATTTGGGAACTGCATTGAAAAGCAAAATTTGGCCCACTAAATGCAAACAAGATCTGGAGTCAATCTAACGTGTGTGGGTTTTTTTATACTGTTGACATAGGGCAGTAATTTCTGTTAATTACATTCTATCCTTTGAAATCGTTCTGCTACTAAAATAGATTACTTAGATTGGCAAAACTTTGTTTTTAAAAGTCTTTTGTTATACACATACACACATTGGTCCATTTTGTATTTTTAATAAAAGCTAAAGACCTTTATTACGAGATACATGGGTTTATAATTAAATTGCTTCTTGTTCCATATGTTGAGGAAACACAAAAGTTTATTTTTAAAGAAAATGCCTTATACATGGTAAGGTTGACCAAACTGACTTTCCACTTGCTGGACTACTAGTTCAGGAGTACCACCTCCTCAACAGAAAGAATGAGGTAAAGCTAATATTTCCCAGCATGATAGTTCATTAAAAGTTCCAGGGCCTCATTTCTAGAGGAAGGTTGCTGGCCTTTGTACTGGCTAAGTTCTAATGTGGATATTTAGAGTCTTCTTCTAAGACCCATAATCTTCCAATAGCTTCAGTTTTGCATATTAAGTTCCGTGGAATCTGTAGGTGGCCTGTGAAACACTTTGGGGACAGTTTGTCAGGGGAAAAAAGGGGGTTATAACAACATACAGGTAAGATATTAATACTGAGAGTGAGTTTAATTGTTAAAAAGTATTCCAAAATGCTGAGTTCTAATACTAGTTTTTGCAACTATGTAGGCAAAGTCTCTTACTGTCTCAGGCCCTCAGTTTATGCATCTCTGATTAGAGTTACCTATAGTTAGTTATAGGGGTGGTGTGAGGTTAGAACCAAATCTTGCGCTCTGCCAGGCAAGTCTGATGGGACCAGAGAGCATAAAGAACCTCTTTTTATTCTATGCTAGCATCAGGGCAGGATCTCTGCCTTGTACTTAAGGAGGATTCCAGAACTCCATATCTGGAAGTCTCCCCATTTCCTAATTGGCTGACTAGAAAGCATAGCTGCACATTCGGCCAGCTAGTACATTGTTTGAGGTCTAGCGAATGAGCCTCTCAGGTTCAAAGGCTTTTCAAAGGAGCAATGAAGGGAACTTAACATGATTTTCTCCCTTCCTTTGGCCTGCCTTGTGTAAATAATGGCTCTTGAATCACATGTGCAGTGGAGAGGTGTCCCCCCCTTTCCCCACCCACCCACACTTTGCATGTGCCTCTGTCAGATAAAGGCAGAATCTTGCCCTTACAATTTGTACTGTGTCCTAGCAATCATCAAAAGAAAAGTGCTTTCTAGATTCACATTGTTAATATGATGTTTTTTTTGTTTTGTTTTTTAAATACCGATTAGCTCAATACTCCAGATATCCTAACAATAAATATGACCCGTGGCTTTAGATTCTCAGTTGCTTTCAGGTGAAAGTGATTGAGAGATTGCATACAAAAAATGGTGAACTTTATGATTCCTCATGAGTTAGGAAAAAGAACAAACCCTCCATTGTTTTTATTATTGCTCAGGACCTGTTCAGTAAACAGAAGGGTTATTTAGAGGAAGAACTCGACTACAGGAAACAAGCTCTGGACCAGGCTTACATGGTAGGACAAGAACAGTCATTAAATTTTCATGCTTGATCAGATTCAATAAGATTCAGATTAAAATATAAATAGGGTTATTTTTAAATGATTTTTTTTTTGTTCTGCTAAATGAGGAAACCAAAAAATTTCCAATGGAAGATAGATGACTCAGGAACTGTGTTAAAATAATTGGAATGGTTATGTGTTTGCATTGCATTCTAAAATGTACAAAATGCAACATTTTAGTGGTAGAATTGATTGCCAGAGGTGACTGTGCACAATGATCATGAGTAAAATATGCAGAAAATGACTATAAAATGTTGTATATGTTATTTTTCCAGCTATTTATAAATATTTTCCACTAACGACTCCAAACCCAGAGATGTCTGTCCTTTCTATAGATCTCTTATAAACTTCTTAAATAAAGCCACAGGTTTTGGTTTTCTAAGTTTGAGCAACAAAATAAGGAAAGTCCTCTGAATTACCTAATAATTAGCACATTAGTGCATTTAGCTTCATTAGATGGAGTAAAACTTCAAAAAATAGAAGTATTCTTACACGAGGAAATGTATACATACTGTAGACATTTTAAATTGGAAAAGCATTATTAGGGAAGTAGTGTGGTCTAGTGTTTAAAGGAGGTAACTGGAAGATTGGGCACCTGGGTTCCATTTCTAATACTATGTGACCTTGGATATTCAATTTAAACTCTCTGTGGCAGAGTTTATGCATCTGTAAAATGGGTACAATTACCTACCTCACAAAGATATTGTGAGCTTTAGTGGATTGCTCCAAGATAGTTTATATCCAAGTAATGTTGTTCAGGATGATGTTTTTTTAGATGAGCATACAAAACTTAATGGTAAAAGAAATATGATTTCTTATTTTAGTCAGCAAATACAGATTTCTCTTTGGATTTTAGTATTCTCTGTTGTTTGCCTCTAAATATTGCTGCTTTCGGGTTGTGCATGAGAAAGTGAAAGTAAAATTGTCTACTAACTAACAAGAAACAAAAGATCTATTGGTGTGCCCGGTCCCTCAAGTACCTCACTGATAAGAAAACACTGGTGTTTCTCTCTTTACTTGATGACATTTCTGATTCTGTGCTTTAACTTTTGATCCTCTTGAGAGATGAGTCTTTGGAATTGCTTTTGGCAACTCAGAACAAAGAGAGTGAAGGAAACTTGTAGGATCAGAGAGAGAGAGAAATGAGTGACGTGCTATTTCTTGACATGCAGTATGTTACTATTTCACTTACGTTTTTTTTTATGCCTGTTTAACAGTTGTATTCCATAGGCTGGTTTAACAATCCAGCTGCAATGAGGGAAACTGCTTGTTTAGCACTAACCCTGTAACCCAAAATTGGCAGTGGGGCCCTATCACAAACTGAACAAAAACTTGGCATCTGGGGACAATGCGGAATCTTTTGTCTTTCCCAACACATACTGTGAACTCTGGTTAAATTAAACAAATCAGTCATTCAATTGAACAGAACGCAAGGCCCATGATGTAAACAGTCTCGTAAGAACATGTGCACTGTGTATGGAATGCTCTCCACTGCTCACATGGGTGTGCTGCTTTTCTGCTGTCTAGTTGTGTCCTTCCTCCCTTTAAGCTTGGCTTGCAAGCATTGTTGTTGTCATGTTGGTTTGTTTGCCTGCTCTATTCAAATGTGAGCTTGTTTGTGTATGATTTGGGTTGCCATCAGAAAATCCAGGAGCTGGAAGCCACGCTGTATAGTGCTCTGCAGCAGGACCCTGGAAGGCGGGCGAGTGAGTCATTGAATGAAGTGCAGAGGGAGGATTTGCGAGCTGCGGTGGAGAAGGTGCGGAGGCAGATCCTGAGGCAGAGCCGCGAGTTTGATAGCCAGATCTTGCATGAGCGCATGGAGTTGCTGCAGCAAGCACAGCAGGTAACACACCACACCTTCCCCTCACACTAGTGTCACCTCCACTGTCGCCACCATTATCAGCACAAGAGTAGCACCTTGCTGTGTTATTCCTAGTCTTATTATTTATATTGCTGTCATGCCAGGGAGCCCCTATCAGAACTGTGGCTGCACTGTACCCACACAAAATACAATGCACCACCCCAGAGAGTTCACAGTCAAAGGCTCCCATCCTATAAATTGTTCCATGTGGACAGAGCTATGCTGACTTCAAGGAGACTCCATGGATAGATGGGGTCTGTCTGCACTGAATGTTGTAAGAGGTTGCCCTGCACCTATGAGGGCCTTGTGCTTGATTATCTCATCCCCCTGTGATGGAATCAGGTGATCCCAATATAGGGCTCAGAGATTTAGTCAGATGAATGCTGAGGCAGGGTCTTGTAAGTGGCCTTAGAAGAGGGAGAGATGCAGATTGAAAATCCACTAGATTCCCTGCAGTGTGAGTAGGTCAGGGGAATGAGTTGGTATTGGGTTACCTTTTGATTTTATTTGAATGAATCAATAAACTGTTCCCTGAGGGAAGGGTCTGAAAGAGACTTGGAGATTGTGTTATTCCTTTTGGGGCTGGGGGATCTAGTCTAGGAGCCCTATACATGGTGGAGAATATGGACAGGCAAACAGTTTCTGGAACTGAGGGGAAACTAAGGCAGCAGAGGAAAAAATGAAGGAGAACAGGAAAGCAGTTATAGAAAGGTCAATGGCAGATGTGATAGCTAGTAGGGTTTCCTGGTTGATCCCCCTTCCTTGCTAGTTTTATTAAAATGAGATAAGATGGAAGGAGATGTCCACCTGCTGGCAGCACAAAAGGTCCAATCCCAGCCAGTACTCCTGGAAGGTCATCAAAAACAGTTCCAGAAGCACATAAAATGGGCTCCCGGGAGTCTTTCTTGTGCTAGAGACAACACCTCAGGGAGGCCTGGCCATTGGTTGGTAAAGTTGGGCTCAGAAGATGACCACAAGGCCTTCCGCTGCATCTTGGAATGAGTGGCCATTGTTTCCAGCTGGATGGTGTGTACTTGTGTAGTCAGGGTGGTGCTATTTCTGACAGAAGGGGCCCAGTCAGTAACCAAGTCTAGAGTGACAAGCACTCTGGCTCAGACCCAGAAATACAAGCTACCATTTTAGACAGCCTGGGACTGGCTACAAAAGCATATCCACACCTGCTCCAGAGGAATATGACCATGTATAGTGGCCCAGTCGTGGTGGGACCTCATCATCCAGTGGTTGTGGAGACAATCATTGACCAGATCTTCAGGAACCATGGAACTGGATAGTTCTAAATATCCTCCCTGTGAGAGTCCAAACTGGGTAGGGCTTTTTCAACCACTGTCTGTGGCTGAGTTAATGGACAGAGCAGAGGATCTGAGCAGTAAAATAGACCAAGAGTACTCCACTGGGGAAGGTGAGAATAGGAAGTGATCTGACTTGGGGAGGCTGGGAAACTCCTCTCAGAGACCAAATCCTGCATAGTACTGAATGTAGTTGTCAAGCTGTCTAGAGTGGCTTACAAACATCAAGGCAGACTGGTAAGAAACAGGGCAAAAATTGCAAACTGGTTGTGTGTTCTATAATTAGATTTAATCAACAAAGCATTAATTGTGAAAATCTCTAGTTCTAGAATCTCAAGTTCTAGCCTTAACAAGGCGTTGCAGAAAGCTTCTTAGGCACTTTGGTCTAGCTAGCCACCTAGGAAAGCCTACTTTTGTGACAGATGGTGCCTTACACCAAAATTACAGTAATTAAGGTTACTCCCACTTCCAAAGGACCAATCACTAATCCCATGTCAATTGTATCTCAAATCTCAAACCAAAGACATGCTTCTAGTCAGTCCTATATTAATAACTAAAGATTTATTAAACAAGAAAGCAAGATAAAAGAAGTACTTATAAGCAGGTAAATATTCACAAACAAATAAGTCACCCTCAGTTTCTAAAAGGCAATAGTAGCTGTTATATATGCAATCTGTGTATGTCCTTTAGGGATAACCCAAATTAAACAGCTTGGGTGTCCTTTGCTTATGCTTAGAAATATTGTCCTCTCTGAATTCCAAGCAGCACAGTTATAATTTCTCATTAACAGGGACTATTATTTCCTTCCCTCAGTGTTCAAGGTGCGATGGGGTGAGGACTTGTGTACCCTCTACATGAGCATGGGGAGAAGCAATCAGCAAAGTCTTTTGTCCACTGATTTTCCTCAACACTTTTTTTCTGGTATCTCTAGGCCTTCATTTGTTGCATAGGAGATGATACCTTTTAGGACAATCTAGTTTGACCCACCTTTCTTTAGGGTAGGAGGATTTAAAACCTGGGATCCCTTCTGCATTTTGCCTGGGACATAGGGGAATTTCCCTTTGGCTGGGATTTGTGCCCCCACAAACTCTTGATTCAACATATCCATTGGCAATTACATCTGTTGCTAAAAGCGTGGAATGTTTTTTTGTCACAGACAGCTGCCGTTAGATCATCTGTAACTACCCATATCAATTGTTCTTCGGCCATCAGATCAAACAGTTTTTCATAATCCCTTTCAGCCCTAGTCCCCATTACGCATATTGTCAGAAAATAGATGTATTTTGTACACATATTCAACATATGTGATATTGTCAAACATTTAAAGATTTCTATACTTTAATAGGACTCAGAGATAATCCTGAACTTCACTTTTCTTTACATTTCTAATACACTATAGCATCGCCCTCTTGCATATCCTTCAAAATTTGTCTTGCCTTCCCAATTGCTCTGGTCAAGTGTGTGAGACTTCCACTTATTCTCTGAGATCTTGTGGATCCTCCCCACAGTCTCTCAAAGGAAGACAGGAACTCTTCTATCAGTCTCTTTACATACTGGGCAGAGTGTACACTCTGAGCCACAATGTGTAAGCTTCCATCTGCTTCTGGTATGTGTGTTCTATCTTCAGATTCAGCATTGTCTTTGACTGCTGCTGTTTGTTCCATGTGTCTTTGATGGCTCACTCCTTGATCTGTTTGCTGGCCATGCATCTTTAGTGGTCTCTCTTGTCAGTCTCTTTACTGGCTTTGGTCGCTGCTTTGGTTGAATCAGTTTCCCTGATCTACAGTGCTGCCATCAGTCTCTCATGCTTATGCTTTTCTTGGGCCACCTCATCCAGCAATCAGACCAATTTGCCTGAAGTGATCTCTGTGCTAGGAAGGTCCTTGGATGCCCGATCAAAACTTCTAAGCAGAGCTCTCAGTCAGTTCCTGATTTGGGGTTTTCCTTGTATAAGATATTCCCTGCTGAATGCAGACATGGTCAAGGTTTTTTTTTTTTTTTTTTTCAAGATTATCATATGACTCAGAAATCATGTCTAACCTTTAACCTTTCGAAAATCTCTATATCAAGTTTAAACTTTTAATAATGCTAGATTATGGTGATCTATAAATCCAGTTGACCTGTGGCATGTGAATTCTGCCAAGACTATTCCTTTGCCAGTGTTCAGTAGGGCCCCAGGGCCTTGGAATGAGCTGGCACTAGCTCTGCCAGCATCACAGTAGGGGTTTAGAAGGATGGCTCCTAGGACAGAGGTAAGGTAGGGAGAACAGTGTAGTCTGTTAAATGGAACTGTGGGTATCTGAACTGAGTCGGAAGGGAGAGGTGTGCTCTCCTGGCTGGAGACCAGATATATAGGGGAGGGATTGGACCCCAAAACCAGCACATCGACAAAAACAGCTTACAGAGAAGACTTAGAGGTGAGGGCAGTAGCCACTAAAATTATCCTGCTGATCACTTGAGGAATGGGGGAAGACACCTGGGGAAGGAGGTTTTAGTGACTGATACGAATAGGGTGGCCTTGGTTTACTCTAGCAGCCCGACAATTTATATGCTTGGAGGAGGTGGAAAAATGCATGCTTCAAGGGACAAGGTTCTGGGAGATGCAGTAATGAGGGAACCAGCAGTTGTCCATATCAGGTTGAAAGATGCAACTGATAAGCAGATATGGAAGGAGGAGGTAAGGAAACCTCACCATGAAATCCTCCAGCAGAATTAGCACATAACTGAGAAGGATGAGAAGTTTTGAGATGCTGGTGGGAGGAGTTGACTGCTTTAAAAACAGACAGAGGTGTGTAACAGAGTAGTCTGCCCCTTTAAGGTCCAGGAGTCCAGGGGTCAGCCAGCCCTTTCCTCTGTCAGACTCACCTGAGAAAGGGACAGGTGACGGAACTCAGCTGAAGGACAGCTTTGCAGGAGAGATGTTGGGCCCCTATGTGAAAAGGCCTCTGGGCTTCTGCTGCCAGTGTTGATCAAAGGAATAGCTTTGTTTTGTGTTACTGGGAGGGTTTTTTTTTTGTCTGAATTAATAAACTATGCTCTGAGGAAGAGACTTGGGCATGGCCTTAGAGTTCCTCCTGGCTTGGGGAAGAGAGCAATTTCCTACTAACATGTTGCAGAATTGGGTCCTAATTTGAAACAATATGTAACATGTTAGAAGCACAATGGAGGGGAAAGACAATACAAGGATGTCAGTAATAGGAACAAAGTGTAGCACATATGTCATGTTTGAGGATTCAACTCAGACCAATGAGAGCTGTCACCTTCTGTCCTATAACCCTGGATGCCTTAAGTGCTCTCGTGTTAGGCTCACAGCCTGGAAACCAGACAGCCAGCAGATAAGCATGCAGCTTCCCTGAGCATCTCTGTGCTGTGTGGCCCTGATTATTGTCTTTCCCTCTTTATTGAACAATGGGCGGATGTATTGGTATGGAAGTTATGTATTGACTGATGCGTATGTTTACCACTTCCCTAACTTGAATGGAGTGTCAGACCTATTGAGGTATATGATTAAGGTATGTAGCTGTAGAGAACATAAGCTCTGATGCTGCTGACAGAGATTTTCCTCTAGCTCAAGTAATATGACCATTCACTTTTTACAATAAGTTCTGAGTTCTGTGCCCCCTGCTGCCTAAATGCAGTGAAATTGACGACAGCAATATATGTCTGCAGTCCAAG